GCCGGGAGCGGCCACTGCACTCCAGTCTGGGTGATAGAGTGAGACTCCAACTCAAAATAATCAGCTGGGCATGGTGGTGCCTATTTGTGGTTCCAGTTCCTTAAAAGGTTGAGGCAGAAAGATTGCCTGTGCCCAATAGGTCAAGGTTGCAGTATCCATGAGTCTGTCCCTGCACTCCAGCCTGAGCAACAGAGTGAGACTCAGACTATTAAAAAAAAAAAAAAAAAAAAATCCTCAAAACCTTCCAGAGGCGGTGGCTCTCATACCTATGATCCTAGCACTTTGGGAGGCCAAGGTGAGAAGATTGCCTGAGCCCCTGGGTTCAAGACCAGCCTAGGCAACTTGGCAAGATCTCATCTCTACAATAAATCAAAAAATTAGCTGGGCGTGGTGGCATGTGCCTGTAGTTCCAGGTACTTGGAAGGCTGAGGAAGAAGGATCGCCTGAGCCCAGTCCATGAGTGTGCCACTGCACTCCAGCCTAGATGACAGAGTGAGACTCCAATTAAAAAAAAAACAAACCTTCCAAAGTAATAAAAATACCAAACACAGCTAAAATTTTAAGAAAAAAATGATTACAAGGAATATTATCTACCACATAAAACAGGAAATCCCACAAATGCAATACTTAAACATTTCTACTTGAACTGTAGGTACAGAAACCAATAGGGGACCCATCATCATCCTTCCTGCTGACATTGCTGTGTTCTGACATGCTACAAGGTCCAGAAAGGGGAGGCAGGGCCAGCATGACTCAAAGGCTGAGTATCCATGGTGGGGACACCACCTGGACACATCCCATCTCTCTGTGAGCCCCACTGACATCCCCCCCAGCCATCCTCCACACAACTGCCAGGTGACCACTCAGGAACACAAGACGACCCTGGGTTTCCCTTTAAAGGATACTTTCAGGGACTGTGGAATAGCTAACAAGACAAGCTGTCCCCTATAGGTCTCCCTTCTAGGCTCAACAGGGAGTCTGACATCCACGACCTACCACACTTTGTTTCTTAGACTTTAAAGTGATATCCTGGCCAGGTGTGGTGTTTCACATCTATAATTCCAGCACTTTGGGAGGCCGAAGTGAGAGGACTGCCTGAGCGCATGGGTTTGAGACCAGCCCGGGCAACTTGGCAAGACCTCATCTCTACAATAAATCAAAAAAAGAGTCGGGCATGGTGGCACATGCCTATAGTTCCAGCTACTTGGAAGGCTGAGGCGGAAAGATTGCTGAGCCCAGGAGGTTGAGGCTGCGGTGGCTGGGAGTGTACCACTCCACTCCAGTCTGGGCGACAGTGAGACTCCAACTCAAAAAAATAAAAGAAAATGTTACAAGCTCCAGAGCACCAGTCACTGAACACGCTGTAGTGCCGCACAGTGCCTGATGGAAAGATCTGAGACGTGCCACATCACAAGGAACGGGAGCCACAAACCACTGGTGTCTCCTTCTCCAGTCATGCTGCCCTTCGTAAGTGGTGCTTTTTAACCGTTATTTGAGGGGTCACAGCCACTAATAGACCCTACTGCCTCAAAATGGGGAGCAAGACCCTCTCGCGTGGCCCAGGTCCATGCCACGGCATTCCAGGAGCACCTCAAACTCCATGTTCTCACAAAGCCCTCCGACGGTGACAGGGTGCATCACTAAGCACAAACATGCAGCCTGGCCCAGGGACGCTGTGTCCTTGTACCGCACGCAGCAGGTGCAAAATAAACCTGCTGCTGAAAGTGGCAGTCTGAAGAAGGTGCACAGACATGGTTCCTTCGGACACTTACCGCTTGGAAGTTGGTGACCTGCTCTACAGGCACCTTCTCCTCTTCCTCAATGGCGTGACACAAGGTCTTTTCAACCCGCTGCAGCAGGAAGTCAAAGGCAGCAGGATTCTAGCACAAATGACAAGATGACATGGGTCAGACAGGAAGCGCGGCAACACCAACCTGCCTCAGGTGGGATGCTGCAGCTGCCTGTGGTGGGACGTGCCAGAGAAAGCTCTGGAAGGGCCTGCACGCTCACTCTGCAGTGCAACGCCCTAAAGAAGCGCCAGAGAGGAGCCGGGCCAGGTAACCACTAAGGGTAATGAGGCAACAGGAAGGATGAGGAGAAGCAGCTTTATTTCAGACCCTTGCAGCTTCTGGGTCCCACCACCGAGCAGCAGTGGGAAGAAACGGAACCCCAGGGCAGACCCAGAAGGGGACACACCATCCTAAACCGACAAGGGATGTCGCTGCGGAAGACCCCAGACTCCAGGGCCTCCACATGGCCCCCCACATAGGTCTCAGCATCTAGCACATGACCATCGTCTGTCAGCTTGTTGAACTCCTGCTCCTGCTTGTTGGGGAAGATGATGTTGGCGTGGAAGGCCTGCACCATCAGCAGGGCCTCACACAGTGTGCCAGAGCCCTTCCGCAGCACCTGTGAGAGACACAAGGCTTCAGCCAAAAGCTGTGCAAAGGCCCCAACTTGCAGGCCCAGCTGGACTTTGAAATGAAAGGAGAGAAAGCAGATCAGTAAGTGGCTGTAAACTCTGCCTGCTGTAGTTACTCTCAGGGAACCAGGACCCCTGAAGGAAACCCTAACACCACATACCACAATTCCACTGCCACTTTCGGCATCAGGCCTCCAGGGCTGTCTTGCCTGTTAGGCACCAGTGCATTCGGAGTAGGGCAGGGCAGGGCAGGGGAGGGTGCTGACTAGTGGGTCACAGAGCAAATGGGAGAGGAGGCTGACCTCGTCGGGCTCCATGGGAATAATGGTGCACAGAGCGAAGATGAAGGGATGGATGTACTTCATGTACAGATAGTAAGTGGCCACGGCATCCGACACAGAATACGTAGCCAGAGTCTGAGGAGAGAACACCAGAGAGCAGGGCCATCAATACCCGAGAGCAGGGCCATCGATATCCGGGCCCAGGGTCACGTGGGATACACAGAAGGCAAAGTTCAGCCTCGCCAGCCAGTCACGCACACACACAACAGGGAGACTGGTGCGGGACAAAACCCACGTGTCCCAGGAAACACACTCGGGGCGAGTGGGGCCGGACTACTTGGCCTGTCTGGTGGGAACACACACGTGCATGGCACAGGGGGCCAGGGTGCTGCTCACGTGCCTGGGGCTGCTCGGTGGCCATCCGGCACATGTCCTCGGGGTCCAGCTCTACCGGGTCATAGCCCAGTTTGGCCTTGGCGGCAGCCTTGAGGTTATGACTACCCACAGGAAGGTAACTGTCCCTCTTCACCCACCTGGGAGGAGAAGGAGTACAGAAGTCAGGATGATTCCAGCACAAAGCCCAAGAATCTGTGGGAACTGGCAAAACAGACAGGACACAACAGATGCAGGGTCCTGAGGGTACCCAGGAGATTTAAACCAAGACCCCACATGGCACAGGCCCTCACAAGACCCCTCCATCTGGGTCTAGCTGATCTCACAGTCGTGCCCCCAAGCACAAGGAAATGCCAGGGCCAGTCCTTCAGGCCTCTCGCCTTACCTCTCACCCTTGGCAAAACACTTGTCCTCTCAATCCAAAAAGATAGAAAGCAAGCGGCAGGCACTGCATCCTCAGGCCTCTCAGACCTCATTCTATAACCACACTGGGCTTTTCTCCTGCTCTCCCCATGGTCCTTCAGCATGGAATCGTGCAAGTCACCCCCCTTCTTTAAAAAGAGGAACCCAGCTGGGCTTGGTGGCTCAGCCTGTCATCTCGCACCTTTGGGAGGCTGAGGTGAGTGGATTGCC